GATGGGTTAGCCTGGTGATGGGTATTAAAGAGGGCACGTATTGAATGGAGCACTGGGTGTTATATGCAAACAATGAATCATGGAACACTACATCAGAAACTAATGATGTACTATATGGTGATTAACATAACATAATAAAATAAAATTTTTAAAAAAGAATGCTGGAAACATCAGAAATAAAAAAACTATCTCATTAATGATTATATTTGGTATGTGCAGGTTTAAATAAATACTAAAATTAAAAAAAAAAAGAACACTTTTCAGGCAGTTAGTGCTGAATTTCTTCAAGGGGAAGCAGGATGGTGGTTCTGGATACCTAACACGGAGGACGCCAGAGGGGGTCCTGAGAGGCAGTGCACTTGGAAAGCAAGAACTTGACCCTCACACCTAGGGTCACAGCCTTGGAGCCTGAGGGTTGGGACCTCTTAACGAAGAGCCACAGGCACCTGGTTCTCATCAGGATGCCTGATTTTATCATGGCCACCCCTGCCTGGCATGCGTGTAGGGACCCATCTTCAGTGATGCCTCCTCAAAGCCCCCCCAAATCAAGGGCTGTCAGGTCCCTCACTGCACCTGACACTGGAAGAAGCAGATTTCATCTTGGGTTGTGTGGGATGGAGCCGGCTGGTGAGACACCCTAGTCCCCATTAGAAGGCAGATGGGCACTGGAAATAGGAAAGAATCTTCTTCTCATTGTACTGCTGGCCTGTAAACTTGAGGCCCCCCACTTACTGACGGACGTTCTCTGCAGATGTGGAAGTCCTACATCTGGAGTGAGTCGAGGTAGGCCAACAGGTAACATATCACAGACAGCTGGTTCCTTCCTTACCCTCCAGTAGGAGGGCCATGGTGCATCTGGTCCTTGTCAGGGATAGAAAGGTCCCTCCTCAACAGTTCTGATTTTTACCTAGGGTGCCAGTCCCCTTCTGAGGTCAGAAGCCCCACAGCCCCGTGGGAATACAGGAATCCCTCCCTGGGAGCCTCTTGCTCTCATGCTCTCCTCCCCCATCTCATCTCCAGCACCCCCAGAGCAGGTCTCCTAAAGTCAGGAGCTTTGTTAGGAAGAGATCCTCGGAGTGTGTGATCCAATTACGCGCTGAATCCTCTTTTTTTTTTTCCCACAGTTCTGTGATGTCAGGACCTATCTCTGTCCTTCTGGGGCAGACACAAATTGTTATACTGCTGTCCTCAGCGGGATCGTCAAGGAAAACTATTCATTTTTCCTTTTTTGCATAATTGACATACAACGTGACACACGTTTCAAGTGTACAACATAGTCACTCAACAGTTCTACACATTATTCAATGCTCACCGCCATAAGTGTAGCCCCCGTGTGCCAACGTTATTACGTTATTACTGACTATATTCCCTACGCTGTACTTTTCATTTCTGTGACTTTTCATCTCATAAGTGAAACCTTGTACCTCGTGACCCCCTTCACCTACTTCACCCATCCCCACACCCCTCTCCCCTCCGGCAACCATCAGTGTGTTCTCTGTAGGTATGAGTGTGTTTCTGCTTCTTTGTTTGCTCATTTGTTTTGTTTTCTAGATTCCACATGAAGTGAATTCTGTAGTATTTGGCTCTCTCTGCCTGACTTATTTCACTTAGCATAGTACTCTCTAGCTCCATCTATGTTACTACAAATGGCAAGATCTCATTCTTTTTTTATGACTGAGGACGATTCCATTGTATATATATACCACATCTTCCGCATCCATTCCTCTATGGTTGAACACTTGGGTTTCTTGCATATCTTGGCTATTGTAAATAATGCTGCAATATACACAGGGCCGCATGTATCTTTTGAATTAGTGTTTTTGTGTTCTTTGTGTAAATACCCAGTAGTGGAATTACTGGATCCTA